AAAAAAAAAAAAGAGATCTGTCTATTTCATTCATCATACTATGTACGATCGAACTCTTGTAGAAAAGGTCGCCCACCACCCTCCGGGCATCGTGGCTGCTGCAAACAGACAGACCACGCCTCGTGAGGGCTTATCGATGGAGAGCAGTTGGATGCTTCTTTTACAGCCTTACCTGTTGTTTAGGAAACGAGAGAGGCAGTTAAGTGCTCATCTCTCTGACTGGCTTAAGAATGACAATAAACAAAGTTTGCACCGCTACTTCCCCGAGGCGCCTGGTCCGGGCGGGGTCCGAAAGCCGCCGGCGCGTCCTCTCGTCGCCGAGAGAAAGACCAGACTTCGTTCCCCTTCTGGTGTCAGGCAAGAATAATGTGTTTGAAGGCTGCAATGACTGCGCCAAAGTCGATCTGGATACCGGAATGGTCAGTTTACCAGGCGGTGATGTCTTCCACCTCCGCTTCGCCGAATGTGCTGCTCTTGGTTAGCTTGTTCACACCATCCACAGCCTCGGCGCCGCCCTCGGGAACCTTGGACATGATGTCCGGCAGAACTTCGCGGAAGAACTCGAGGATATACTTGTTGACCTGCTCAAACTGGAGGAGGAAAGCGTCGTGCCCCTCGGGACTCTCGATCCGCTTCAACCTCGAGTCTGGGATACCAGCTGCGATTTCCTGCTGCTCCTCAAAAGTGAACAGTCCATCGGTCTCGATGCCCAAAACCAACGCAGGCTGCTCGATTTGGCCAAGTGCCTCGCGGACAGGGTTCTCAGAGTCTGCGCTGGCCCGGTGCCTCGAGACGTCGTGCGTGTCAAGCTTGCGGGTTATCGCAATGTAGCAGTTGGCGTCGAACCGCTTCACGAACTTCTCGCCCTGGTAGCGAAGGTAGGACTGAGCTGAGAAATAAGTGGGAAGCTTCTTCTGGTTGCCCTTTGGTTCGACAGTCTTGCTGAAGGTCTTGGTTCCAGAGAACTGCGGGTCCTGGAACAGAATTTCGGCCGGCTGGGCAAGCGCAGGCGACTGGAGCACAGGGGAGCTGCGTCCACTGCTCTTGTGCCCATCGTTGTGGACGGCCCAGTGCTCGTTGGGCGGACTGGGCAATCTCTCGGTGCCGTTAATGTTCTGGCGCTTAGAGGGATCAGGCACGTTTCGGCCAAAGCGAGACTCGAAGGAGTTGCGGCTGCGGTATGTAAGAAGGGCAGACATGCGGGCCGCACCTAGCCCGGTCGCAGGAGGGTCATCGAACGAGTAGTAGCCGTCCTCGTACTTGGGATCGCTGTAAATGCTTTGCCGTTGCGCCTCGCCCCAACTGATACACCAAGCAGAGTGGCGGGGAGATGTGGCGATAGGACAAATGGCACGGACATAATCCTTGCCGAAGTAGGCGTACTCGAGGGTAAGCATGCCACCCATGGAACCACCCACGACGGCAGCAATCTGCCGCACGCCAAGGTCATCGAGCACGATCTTGTGAATCCTTGTCGACGTTAGACATGAATACTCCCATTTATCTTTCGAGAACAACATACCTCACATCATCACGCACGGTGGTGAGAGGGAATTCGGGTCCATAAAGGCCCTTCTCCGGGTCTCCGTCCTTGTAGGTCACAGCGCTGGCACTACCATACGGACTGCCCAAACTGTTCAGGCAGACGACAAAGAATCGCGAGGTATCGAAAGCCTGACCGGGACCACCGAGCAGAGGGCCCCACCAGTCCGCGACATCAGCGCTACCACTGAGGGCATGGCAAATCACCAAGACATTGTCGCCGTTCGGGGAGAGTTTGCCGCGGGTGGTGTACGCCACCGGAACGTTATGCAAGATCACACCAGACTCGAGAGTGAAGGAGGGGATGATCGCGATGGATTGATCGGTGATCAAGGCCGAAAATGGGTTTTCAGGTTGCGAGGCGACTCTCTCTACGGGATTTAGTAGCCATTCACCTCGAAAATCGCGGGGACGGACAGAACGTGAAGCGGGGGCGGGGGAAATTCTGGTGAGGGGGAATACTGACGGAGTCTGCCAGAGGCGCCAGAAGTTTGCGTGGCCATTCCGGTGAGAAGAAGCCTCAGGGAAGCGATGGGATATGAGGGTGAGGACAGAAGTAATCACAGGAAAATGCAACAGCAATGAGCGAGACAACCTTTTGGAGAAAAAATGTAGGACGATGGAGGAGTGAAGAGGGGGACAAGCCTCATTTTTCAAGTTTTCCGCGGGTGACTCATGCGTCATGAACACCCAATCGGAATCCCTGATTATCTCATGCATCACGTGATGCGTATCTGTATACGATGAATACGCAAAAGTGGATTTGCCAGTCTTGATCCATGATTCATGATTCATGATTCATGCTTCCTTCATGCTTCATGCTTCATGCT